CAGGAAGAGCAGAATGCCTCATCTCTTCTGTTCCTGGAGGAAAAAGGGCTGTTTCAGCTGACGTAGTTTGCTTCACTTTGTGACAAAATTAGGGCATGCAAGAAACGGAGAGCTTTGGGGAAATTCATGCAAGAATGCCATGGCAGAGAGAGGATGTGACTGAAGTACTATCCTTATAAATATCTTCTCTCTTTGACCAAATAAAGTTGACAGTGACACACGAGTTCTTATTAAAACTCAGGTTATTATTAGCAATGCGTGAGGCTTCTTAATTCTGTTTCACCTGCAAAGTCAGGGCCAGGCCCAAGTACGGAGAAGTGTAAAGACCTGCTAGTATCATGCTCACACCTACAAAAGGTGTTCTCTGTCCAAGTGCATACAAAGGATGTCACATGGGTTTGTCTTAGAAGTTGTTCTGCAGGTTCTCCTGTAGCCCCTACACATTTGTGGCACCTCTCAGCCCATGTGTAGCAGCCTGTATCCTCTGCAGATGCTCACTTCTGCTCACTACCTGCTCTTCTGGTCTTTGCAGGCAAATTCTCATGCAGGCTTCCAGCTAACTTACTCAGTTTTTAGAAGAAGGAATTAACTCATGAGAGAAGGAGAAAAGACTCTTGTTTTGCTGAATTACATGGATCATATTAAGTACTTGTATCATTTAATTTCAGAAACAGCAACATATTAAGGTAACAGTTAACCAGACAAGCCCAGGATAACTTGTGCAAATGCATTAGCAATTTTAAAAGCGAAGGAATCTCTCAGCTCTGGTACTGAGATACAGACTGAAGTAACTTTTTGGTCCCTAATTTTACTGTTTCATTTCCTTTGCAGCCCCTGAACAGCCTAACCTGGGAAATACAGACTATGCATTTGAGGTAGATTGAATAATGAAATATATTTGATTTAAGAGTAGTATTTTGTATACTTCCAAATATGGCATTTAACAAATACTTACGTTAGCAAATATTTCTATTTCACTTTGACTGCCATTTTTCCAAGAAAAATGTGTTCTATTTTTTTTGCAGATGGCCATTTCGAACATCCGATATGGAGAAGGAGTTACTAAAGAGGTTGGCATGGTAAGGTTCTGTAGTGTAAGTCCATCGTGGCTAAAAAGCTGTCTTCTAAGGGGCTGCTGGTGCTATCAATCCATTTTATAAGGGAAAGCTTCTGTATGGTGTGTCTGAATGTCCACTGCTTCACAGTATGTGTAGTCACATATACCAGTGTAAAAGAGGTCAGAAAATGCTGTTGGTTAAAGAACATCGATGTTGCTGTGGTGTCAGTGGATATGTGAAATGCAGCTTAGTGGATAATTAGATCGCTGATGATTTGCCAGAATTATGCAGCAATGCTTGTCTCTGACATGGAATTTAATTCCAAAAGCTTTGAGTCCTGGTGACTCCCCAGCATTTTATCAGGATCACTTTCATCTCTTCTAGCGCTCATTAAAATGAATTGGAGACTTTCCATTAAATGAGGTAGATCTTCCTTTCCACTGTGAAGATGTAGAATCTTTATTTCAGCAGTGTGAGATGATTCACCTGAGTATATTGTTCATTTGCCTTTATCACTGGGTTTTTAATTTATCATTTTTTCCTCTCTTCTTGACATTTATGGCATTAATGGTTCTTTTTCGTATTTGTAAAGTAAATTAATAGATAGTAGATGAAGGTAGAACTTCTGTCTTTAAACAGGTGTAGGATTATGTAGAACTTCATGGATTGTGTGGTTATTGTGACAATTAATCTGGCAAAGGTTAGGATGTAGTATTATTTTTCTTCTTTTTGACACCTTATTTTAATTTTTCACCAATAAACTAATATTCAATACTAACTTTTCAAAATTATATTGCCATACTGTGGTAGGCAGTTAGGGGAGACCTAATCTGTGGAAAAGCCTTTTTCTGTCACAGGAATTGTGTAGGAAAAATATATTTCAAAAATATTTTACATTTTACTGTAGTCTTTAGTGGTTCCATGTGGTTTTCACTTGTTCGACATCTTTATCATTAATTTTCTTCTGTCAGAGAACTTCTGTGTTCACAGTTTGGGTCATATTGAACCGTGTAAGTTCAGCAGCTTTACACTTTGTGCTGTTCTCTGGATCCTGTATGTGTGTGATTCACCCTCTTTTTGTTTAGCTGATACTCTATCAAAAACTTTACAGGAATCAACTATTTTTACTTTGGGGTTTTCATTATTATTAAACGGTTAATCTGATTTGGATTAGTATTTAATAGTCCAGTGTATGTTTTTATACCAGCTGACTGTTTTTTAATTTCCATGTTATCGTAGGACCTGCAGAATCTTGGTGCTAGAAGAGTTTGTTTGATGACAGATAAAAACCTCTCCCAGCTCCCTCCTGTAAATGCAGTATTGAATTCCTTGGCAAAATATAGGATAAACTTTCAGATGTACGACGACGTCCGGGTGGAACCAACAGACCAAAGGTACTCCCTCCCTGACAGTGTGCTGCTCCAGGGGCTGCCTGGGCTCCCCGAGCCTGTCATACAGCTGAGGAAACACCTCCCGCTGCTCTCAGCGCTCGTCTCGAGAGTTACCTTCTCTATGTGCTGGTTTTCTCCTGACTAACTGGAAAGCTCTTCTTGTTTTTAAGTTTCCTGGACGCCATTCAGTTTGCTAAAAAGGGCGAGTTTGATGCCTATGTTGCTGTTGGAGGTGGGTCTGTACTGGACACCTGCAAAGCTGCCAACCTGTACGCATCCAGCCCCACGTCGGACTTCTTGGACTACGTCAATGCTCCCATTGGGAGAGGAAAGCCTGTCACTGAGCCCCTAAAGCCACTCATTGCAGGTACAGCAGGAGTGAGGGGGTGAGAAGGGGAGTCAGTCTACACTCTGTGAGATTTCTACTGAAACCAGTTTCCTGTCACTCTTTCACCTTCCTGTGGGTTTACTTCTCTAGTTGTATCCAACATCAGTTTTGCTGTTTACTTCAGTGGAAGTAAAATCACAGTTTTTCTTTAGCTGAATTTGACTCCTTTTACTGAGAAAAGAGATCAAAGGGGCAGTTTCTCTTTGACCTGTTTGCCTTGGATCAGGGATACCTCTGACATTTCCTGGATCCTGTCTTTTTGGTGGCGTTACTATTGTGCTTTTGTTTGTTTATTTTGCAATATTATGTATTACTTATTATTTGTTGTTATCCCTATTCTCCCTTTTAAGTTCCTACCACAGCTGGAACTGGAAGTGAAACCACTGGTGTTGCCATTTTTGACTTCAAAGAGCTAAAAGTAAAAACTGGTAAGATTTTTTTTTTTTTGGTCTGCTGTTCAAGACAATTGCTTTTCCAATGTCTTCATTATCTCCCTGCCTTGAAAGAAAGGGATACTGAACATCATTTCAGGTATCATTTGGTTTGATTCAACTGCCACAGGCAAATTTGTAGAGCTTAAAGGTTTCCTCCTTGAATTAAATTCACAGTGTATTAACATAATGAAATACCTATGTAATACAGCGGATTATAGTTTGAAGGCAAAACAGGAAACTAAAATCTTTCAAGTCCTTAAATGGCAGAAAATGTTAATTGCAAAGGAAATTTCTACTTATATTCAGGGCCAACCAACTGTTGCTTATTTCCTCTGTATTTTGCTTTCTGCTTTTCAAACTTCTGTTTCTTTGTTGTGTAATTGCAACCAAATGTTCATTTTCCTGACTTTGGAAACCTCAGGCCTGAGATGCCATGCAAGTGAGGAGCACTGTCTTCCTTTGGCCTTTTCATCCCTGGCAAATAAAAATTGGGGTTAAAATGTCATCTTAAGCATCATCGCTGGTTTGAGGTTTTAGTCCTAAACGTGTGAATTTTTTTATGCCATTTTTCCATGCCACACAATCTACTTGGGACCCAAGTGGGTCTGCTAAGGAGCTCTGACCATACCTCAGAGTCTTCTAGTCTATATGCAGTCGATCATTCTGTTTGTGTATGTCTGTCTATCTGTCCCTCTCTCTCAAAGCTGCATCTGTGCCCCCTTAACCAAAGTGTGAAGGCATGAAAGTTATTACAGATGCTGAAGACAACAATTAGCAATAGCAATTGATTGTAGACACAAACCAGTGTCTACTTGCCCTCTGTTCACAGAAGATACGAATCTAAGAATACTGTTGCAGATGATACGCAGCACGGACATTTTGAAAGTTCAGGCCACTCAGGGAGGGCTCCAAATGGAGAGAGAGCATTGGTATGATTCACTTCAGTCAAAAGTCAAGTCACACAACTCCCTTACAGGCACTTCATCACCAGTAAGACATTCATAGATACTTCTTACTCTCTCTTCTCTATCTTTGTTTTATCTTCACAGTTTCAAATCATTTCTCCTCATTATTGCTACGCTTAGAACATTAGGCTTGTCTTGTATTTTTGTTGCCAAAAACCCCTTAACTCCTTTTCCTGGCTTGCATGTTGCAGGTATTGCTTCAAGAGCTATTAAGCCAACGTTAGGCATCGTCGACCCTTTACACACGCTGTCTATGCCTGAGCGGATAGTGGCCAACAGTGGCTTTGATGTGCTTTGGTGAGTTTTCTTGTAGGCTGCTACTTGAATTTATTATGATTTTGTATTTTTACTGTGATGATTGCAGAAAAAAGATATCTTAGGAGCAGAAAAGGATGACCCTTTTCCTCCCTTTCCTGTTCTTGTTAAGGTGGTCTCCGTTATACTTTCCTCTTGCTTAGTTTCACTGCCTCCTTCAGAATGTATGGAAACAAATCTCTCACTTGCAGAAATGTTAATGTTTTTGCAGTGCACTGGAGAAAGCGTTTGCTTCCGGGATCGTTGTTGTCAGGGAAGAGAGTCCAGGTGTTCCTTCTCAAGAGACTCAGTAGATGATATAATAGAAATTGCAACAGCATTTAGCACATCTCCCAGACATGGCAGGGAACAGAGAACAAGGATTTCTCTAATAAGAGCCTCTATATGTCTTTTACAAAAATTTGTGAAAGCTTATGGCATGCTGCCAGGTCTCAGTCCGATGATGACCATCTTTGAAATCTGTCTCATTGTTTGCTTTTCACTTGGCTCAAATTTTTCTGTATCTTAAACCTGCAGCTTTTAACTGCACAAAACACGAGGAAGTTTCTGTTCGGGGGCCAGAGCTTGCTTTGCTTCTGAGTGCTGTGTAGATGGAAATGGTTTGTCTGTAAAATGGAGCTCTCCTTCTTAAATAATTCCTTTTTAACCTTTCTCTTAGCCATGCTCTGGAATCGTACACCGCTCTCCCTTACAGCATGCGTAGTCCCTGCCCTTCAAATCCCATCAACCGGCCGGCTTACCAAGGCAGCAACCCCATCAGTGATGTCTGGGCCCTTCATGCTCTGCGCATCGTGGCTAAATATTTGAAAAGGTAACACAGTTAAGAGCCACACCCTTCCTGCTGTGCTCAGACCTGCTTCGTACTTCAGCGCCCAAAAAGGGATGCTTAGAAGAACCTGGATTTTAGGCTAAAATAAGGCAAACTACTACTTTAAACCTTCTTTTTCTACCCTGGATTTCTCGTCAATAAAGCAATTTTTTTTTTTTTCAAATAAAATTGAAAGTAAATTTGTTTGTCTCAAGGAAGCACTGGATTTTAGGCTAAAATAAGGCAAACTACTACATTAAACCTTCTTTTTCTACCCTGGATTTCTCTTCAATAAAGCAAATTTTTTTTTCAAATAAAATTGAAAGCAAATTTAGGGTTACTAGGTTGTCTAAAGGAAGCAACTTTTTAATGGCTCTGTGGATTTGTTTTATAAGTCATACGTAGGCTTCCCAAAGCTCCTAAGTAGAATTCTTTAAACCACCACAGAGGTGAATATGGCTAAATTCGCTCTATTTACTTAGCTTTTGGAAAAGTGAAAGGAAACTTGCCTGTGACTGAGCCAGTTTGATCTACTTACTAATCCAGAAGCAGGATTGTTCTCTGACTGAAGTGTGACTACTCAATCCTATTTCCAGCATTTTTGTCTCAGCTTATTTTAGAGGTTTTTGTATATCTGTCCCTAAAGAAGCCCCTGCTCCCTTCTCCATCATGAATTACCAATCTATTTGTGCTGTCACTGGTACCATTGTCTCCTTGATGCACAGAGCCATCAGAAACCCTGAAGACCGTGAAGCAAGAGCAAACATGCACCTAGCAAGTGCTTTTGCTGGTATTGGCTTTGGCAATGCTGGTGTTCATCTCTGGTGAGTACAGAAAAATATTAACCCCATCTGAGGTCAGCTTCTAGCTAGTGTTAGTTTCAGATTGTCAAAGATATCATGGCCTTTGTTGCTGAATATATAGTAAGACGTTGTAGCCTGGCCTGTGGTGCAGGGGGAGCTGTGTGTTCTGAGAAGCTGATGGGCTTTTGGTATTTCTGTGTATAGAAATTGTGTATTCTGGCTTGTGATGCTCAAATCCACTCGGGAAAATCAAAAAACATGGTCTTTCTTTACCTTCCTTGGTAGCAAAAAACATAGTTAGGAAAAAAACCCCAGTGATGGTACTTAACCTGTTGGATTTGGTGCCAGCTGTTCTGCAGTGAGACAGCAATGAGGGAGCTGATGCAGTTGTCTGTAGATTGGTCTGTGGGGTGAGTATTTAGCAGGCTGAAATGAGCTGTAATTAATATTGCAAGGTAATATCATTTCATAGAGGTGAAAATCTCAGAGGAGCAAATCCTAAGCCTGAACTGTGCGGAGAAGTTGGTAACAGTAATTCCCTTCAGAGACCTTCTTTCATTCCTTTTGTTTGGCCGAATCCACTCTTGAGTTATACTTTAATGTTTCTTTTTCTCAGGCTGTGTGGTCAGGCTGGGATGCAGGTTATGCTCTTTTGGGCCTATCTGCATTGCTTTAGTAACTGAGCATTTGTCAGCCCAGCCAGTGAAGTAACATAACTCCAGACTCACAAAGTAAGGAAGTACCATTATTTACAGCTAGGTCCTTAAGGTGCAGAGGAGTGAGGGTTGTCTGTACCTAATATCCATGCCATACGTGTACCTAAATAAATATCCTTTAAGTATCTGTACCCAAGACACTTGCATACGGAAGACTGACCACACAAGGGACTGAACACAGTTTTTCCAAATACCAGGTGAGCTGCCCTAACCACTTTCTTTCTACTTTCTGTTCCAGCCATGGAATGTCTTACCCTATTTCTGGTTTGGTGAAAACTTATAAACCAAAGGATTATAATGTGGATCACTCTTTAGTGGTAAAACATGTTTTATCTTTGCGTTTGTGTTATACATTTCAGTTCTCTCACATCAATGAGCATTGAAGCACATTGAAGTTGAAAGTCTAAGTCCTGTTGATGTGGTTTTATTATTTTTTCTTTTTTTTTTTTTCCCCCAGCCACATGGCCTTTCTGTGGTGCTGACATCCCCAGCAGTGTTTGCTTTCACGGCACAGATATGTCCTGAGCGGCACTTGGAAGCTGCAGAGATACTAGGTAGGAATCTCTGTGGGTACAACTTACTCATACAAATGGAATCCTTCCCAAAATGCCTTTTTGGGAGTTAAAAAAAAAAAATAAATGTGTGCAAGCAGTTGTAGTTGACTGTTGCAAGGGTTTTAAGTTTAAAAAAAAAAAACCAAGATTTTGGAGTCTGTCTGAGTTACAGTGCAAACTTCAGTAGAACAGTGCTAAATTTTGATATGGGATGATAGAGAAGCAAGCTGGAGAAATCTTCTTTTTGGCTAGAAAACTGGACAGCTGAAATGAACTCTAGATCTCTTACAGAGCAGGAGACAGTAGCTGTGATTGGCATCCCTCTCGGTGCTCTAGGGAGAAGAGTTACTTTAGAGTAGATACCATAAAACAAAGAAGTATTCAGCTGCATCTGCAGTGGGCTGATTTATTTCTAAGGTCAGATTTTGTCTGCACCAGACTCTGTGTTGTAGCTAAACTGCTGCTAACACCCATGTTCACTGAGGAGCATGCACAGCAGTGCAGAGTCAAGAGCAAGTGGTTAGGGCAGCTCTCCTGGTATTTGGAAAATCTGTGTTCAGTCCCTTGTATGGTTCTGTACGCAAGTCACAGCAATCCAGTCACATGGATGACTTCCTTGTATAAGTCATATGAAAGTATTGTGGGTTTCAAGAAAGGGTGAGACATATATAAACAATGAAAATGTCACAGTTAATTTTAAAGAGAATGTAAAACAACACAGTCAGGAAAACTACACTGAGGGAAAATTCTGTTTGTTTTATAAATGTTGGCTATGAGGTTGTTCAGCCTTCCTTCAAAGTATGCTGTCCTGCCCGTGGTCAAAACCAGAACACAGACCTAGCTGGAATCATACACGAAGCTACAAAATGACTGTTCCTACAGCAATAACACACAATTCAAAATAGACTAGGAAAATGTTCCTGGGTAACCAGCCAGGACAGCATATCAGAGAATTTGAACTCTGTCTCCTTGATTTTAAAATGAGTGGTTCAAAAGCCATTCCCTTAGGTTTTGTGGTATGAACTGCTGCCACAAATTCCATTTCTAAAAGGTCTGTTAATTTTCTCAATAGAAATGTAAACTACATTATTGTCTGTCTTGCTGTAAAGGGACCATGCTGAAAACATGTCACATGGAATTGAATTTGTTAATTCCCACCTGGGGTGTTTACTTCTGATTCCATTCCAGATTACAAGTGACTACAGTAGCCGATTCAGATTTGTCATGTTGCCAAATGTAATGACTAAGAAGGTATTTTATGACATGAAGCAGATTACTAAATAGTTATGCTGTGTGTATATACAGCTGTGAATTTGGGTACAGCCAAAAAAAAAAGCCTAATACCTCCCAGGGTGGACTCTTAAACAGATGAAATGGGTGTGCGTGTGGCCAGAAATTTTTCAAGTGCAATCAAAGAGTGATGTATCCTTTAGTTTAAGCAAAAAGGAAGTACTAGAACTACAGCAATAGTTAAAAACTGCCCTTCACATTTTCTGTCCTTTTTTCCCCTCCTTCCTTTCCCTTTTACTTTAGTCTCTGAAGATACGGGGTTTATGTTCCAGCCACTGTGCCACAGCAAAACCCAGAATAAATTCAGACCGTGTGGCCTAATCCCAACAGCATAAGGCTTTGTACAAGACTCTGAGCTACCTTATTTATCAATTTCTCCCAGATATTAGCTGCTACAGTACTGCCAGTCTTACCACCCGAATATCTGAGCTCCTCCAATGTGCTTATTGGTCTCCTGTTCACTTAATCCCCTTTGAGTGCTGTGCTGAACTTTGTGAGGATCACAGAAAATATTTTTCCTGTAGTTATGTTGTGCTCTTAGTCATCTCTCAGTATGGACCTCACATAGTTCTGGTGTAACATCATTGTGGTTGCACAGAGGAGCAATTTAGCTCAGCTTACTTTGAAAAGAAATCACATGGAGGAACCTGTGTCTTCTATCTGGACATGGGTTTATTATTACTTTTAATTAAGTCCTGACTATTCATTGAAGGGGAGGCAGGCTATTCCACAAGAAATACTGGTAATTCCTCAGTTTATAGTGATGCTTTCATTACTGTTCAGTAGCTGTTTCAAAGTTACTAGTTCCTTCTCTTCATTTCTACATTGTCCTACACGAGTCAGCACGTGTTCAAACGGCTTTAGGTTTAGGATTTACTTAACCTCTTGAACACTGCCCTGCCATCTCCTGTCCTGCTCAGCCTGTATGCTCTAGTCCTCACTTTGAACGTGTGGTGGAATGGAATAGTCACTGGTTTCCATGTCCTCTAGATGTCAGCAAACTCAAGGCCTTAAATAAGGTTAGCGTTTGGCACAGCGCCACAAAACAAACAGCACTGACGCTGGTGCCTGAGCTTCATTCCTCCCAGCAGTTAGTCAGACTGGAAAGTGCTTCTCCCTGTAAGCGTGGAGGGAAAGGGAGTTAACCTCATGTGGCAGTTCGTGTTTCTGGCAGCAGCTACCTGCTTCTCCTCATCTTGCTCTCGTTCACCTTTTACAAACTACTCCAGCTGTGAAATGAAGGCCAATTCCTCTTTTTGGTTCATTTTGCTTTTAGAGCAGCGACTGTGCTCTGTGGATATATATTCAGCTGATGTTATGATTAAATTAAGTCCAGAACAGGCTCCCTCCGCTCTCTCCACCCTACAGTCAAGGCATTATGTCTTATTTTAGGAGCTGACATCCGCACTGCCAGAGTGAAAGATGCAGGGTTTATTTTGGCAGACGTACTCCGGAAATTCCTGTTTGATCTGAATGTTGATGATGGTTTAGCTGCAATTGGCTATTCTAAAGCAGACATCCCTGCGCTAGTCAAAGGCACTCTGCCTCAGGTAAGACAGAAAGCACAACAGTTTTTCCTGTCTAATAAAGTAGAATGGATTTTTGAAAAAAAAATAGAAGTGTTTCTTTAGAAGCAAATGTTATTTCTCGTCCTACATGAAAGCAATTAACATGGAGAAAATTTTGGCTAGTCAACTGTATTTTGTTTCTCTGCACAGTTGAGGGTTGTCTCTTCAGTGAGGTGGCATGTGTGCTGCAGTCTGTTCTTCACAGGGATTCAGAAACAGCTGTTAGGTGTTTGATTTTTTTTTTTTTAAATGTCACTTTTTAAAAAAGAGGATGTTTTTTACAGACCTTTGACCTCTGTAGAAGATTTGCTTTTTCATTACTATCTCTGTTAATTGAGTATGCAGGATGGGTTATAGATAAAGCCTTAACACCAAGTGCTACCCAGTAAGAATGGCTGCATTCACTCTGCATTAAACTTTTCCATATTGGGAAGTTGCACTTTTCTTCCCAGATGGCTTTTTTGTTCCATTGACCCCCATCAGAATTTGAAATAAGGTCCCCTGGGATGATATAGATTAAACTGGTAATACCCTTTACTGTTTCAGTGCTCACAAAGACACTGCAAAAAGCAACACACCACTCCAACAGCAAAATCCAGTGTCTTCCTTGTAAAAGGACAGTTTGACTCATGTGCTATGGACTGTTCTGTCTATTTCGGATTTATTTCCACCAACCAGGATGGGAAATAAACACTGCAGAGATAATGAAAATTCTGTAGGCTGAAAGGTTATTTGCTTTTTACAGCAGTGCCTCTTACCATGTCTGGTTCTTTTCATCCCTAAGACTCAGAGTGACTTACAACAGAGGGTCAATGTTAATATTCCAAATTTATACCAGAGCAAACGACACAGAGGTGCAACTATTTAGGATCACACACAAAAGAGCAGTGGCAAAGCCAGGAGGAAAATCAAGGTTTCTGAGCACCCATTAAATAGATTATGCATGTAAATTGTTATGGGGTGTTGTGGAGATTTGTTTGGATTGGTTTGTTTGTTTCTTCCTTTAAAACAATTGTGTTTGGATCATCCTAAGCACATCTCACGGAAGCTGTGTTTTACATAGCTGGAAGAGAGGGAAAGTTCTTCACCAAAAACTGTTGAAGAGGTTTTTTTGTTACTTTGTTAGCTTAGCTCAAATCAACTTTTAATTCACTTAACTGTCATCTCACGGCACTGATGATTAATTGTAAAATTAGATGACCTAATTGTTTCTCAAACCCTATTTTTGGATATGGGAACATGACAAAATGTATTAGTGTTCCAAAATAGTGCATTACTCCTCACAGAGGTAGTCCATACAGTTTGGTCTTTGGTATATTTTGTTTTTATCTTGCGGTAACATTCTGAGCATCAAAAATCAACATAGTTTTGCCCTGGTGCTGTTTGAATTTTCCATTTGGTTTCAGTCCTACATAGAATAGTCTTAGCCTTGTCTTTGGCTGGACCTGTGCACGTAGCAGCACTTGCCAGGGATGGGGAAGGAGGTGTTGTTTGATTGCTGCTGCTGCACCAGCAAAGCTTCTCCTGTAGGTAAAGCTGTGCACTGGAGCTGCACTGCTAACCACACGGGCGATGGTTACGAGCTGTGAGCAGCCCACAGCTGCCTTCCTCACCTCCCCGTGGCAGACCAGCCTTTCACACGTCAGGCTGGTGGTGCAGAGCAACCACATCCAGCCCAGCCACAAATCGCAGCCCCGCGGGCTGAGAGGGAAGCGGAGCGGCCGCAGCACTGCACTCATCAAAACCAGTGCAGGCACGCTGATGTTGGGCTGCTTCAGCTGGGGCGTTCAGCAGTGACCAAACACCTTCACCAAGGCTGCTCCTCAGCCTCGGTAGCGTGGGGCTTCCCTGCATTGCCATCCCACCGCTGCAGTTTCCTCCAGCAGCGTGGTGAAGCATGTACCTGAGGTTTGTTTCAGTCAGGGGCCTTCAGCACCTGAAAACTGAGTGACCATCCAGATGAAGACTAACCACAACTATTTTATATTCTGATTCCAAGGTGCTGGGCTATTTATGAAGCAGTGTCACTACCAACCCTTGCTGTGCCTCTTTTTTTGGAGTCTGAGTTGCAAGCACTGTTCACTCTACCCACCCATAGCAGTTCCTAGGCTTTGAGGGATGTATTTTGAAATCCTTGGTCCAATGCAGACCAATAAAATTAAAAAGGGACTGTATTCCCAGGGTAATATCCTCTGGTGTACTGACATCCATGACTGAAGAGACTCATGTTTGAAGTACTTGACTTTGCAACTGAACTGCATTCTAGTTTTGCTTCTGTGTGTTTAATTATAGACAATTTTAACTAATATGTTCTTGAAAGTACTGTTTAGTTGATGAAGCTTCAATCTTAATTACTTGATTTCTTATTTGCAAAACCTTTTTATTCTCTGTGAAGGATGTTAGTACAAAGGCATGTAGTTCAGCTGCTCTTTGGTTAATTTATTGGCAGCTTTCCGTAATCCAGTTTTCCCTTAATTTTTCAGGAGAGAGTGACCAAGCTATCACCACGCTCCCACACAGAAGACGACCTATCTGCCCTCTTTGAGGCTTCCATGAAGCTCTATTAGCTTAAACATTTTGTTCTGAAAAGTGTGCTCTGTTCTAACACAGAAGTAATTCCTCATAGATATGGGGCTGAATTTGTTAAGAGAATGGAAGAACTCTGGTACCTTTGACTTCTGTGCCACTGTACACTGACTCAAGGTCAAGTAATTTTTCTATTAATTAACTAAATTGTGCTTTGAAGTGAAGTCCTGGCTGTGGGTTTTTTCTTGCTCTGTAGTCAGTGGCATTAACTTGAATAAAAGTTGGAGCAGGTTTCTCACTGCACTGAAGGCTTTCTTGTGCTTTAGAGGTGGTCAAAGGTGGAAGACTGTTTGAAGGACTATTCCAATCCGTTTTACAAATTATGGTTTTTATTTCAATTGTCCATGTTTTTAGAAGAAGAAATAATTGAGGTGATTTTTAACGGGGGGGGGAGGGGATGGAGTTCCCTTGCAGAAAATCATTTACTGTATTCTCTTCAACTTCACCATCTTTTTACCATCTGGCTCTTCTAAGAAGGCCATGGAACTTGGGTACCTTTTTTTTGTTTTGGATAAGAAAAAACAAAACACACTTTACACATGTTTGGAAAATGCTTCCTAGAAGTTTGCTTTGGGTTAAAATTCTGACATGTATTGTCAGGTATTTATCTTCCCTTTTAAGATCAGCATGAAGCATTGATAGGAGAGGCAAAACCAGAGTAAAGCGCAGTCACACACTCAACAGGAATCCCACAACAGCAAGACATCATCCATCATGGTCATTTTGTCTCTGTGGAGGCCACAGCTCCCCGCTCCTGCCGCAGCCTGTGGGAAGAAGCTACCAGCTGTGCCTTGCTGCTCTGTAAAGCGGTTGCTTCTGCTGAGATCCTGCAGGTGCTGTCCCTCTGGGGGCAGCCACCAGCTCAAGGAAGTGGTGGTGAGCTGTGGCTGGGTGTTAAAACGTGGTGGTGTGGTGTATGGCTGCACAGTGACCTGCTGGGAGCACTGGTTAAACCTGGGAAGGAGTGGGCGTGTTAACTGTCATCTGAGAAAGGGAAGTGGGAAAGGGAGAAATGAAACCAAAATTTTAATGCTATTTTTCTAAAAAGTGCATGTGGTTGTGTGTGTACAGTTCATTTAAATCAGATTCTCCTTCATGTTGCAGAATCTCAGAATCCCAGCGTGGTAGGGGTTGGAAGGGACCTCTGGAGACCATCTTGTCCATCCCCCCCTGCTCCAGCAGGGTCATCCAGAGCAGGTGGCTCTTGTGGTTGGCTTTCCATCGCCTTGAGACCCGAAGGATGGATGAGAAAGAGGGATGGCTAACAGACAGCGTGTGTTGGGTCCCACTTACCTGCAGCGTACGTACCAGAAATCCTGCAGGCTCTGTTTGTTAATAGATGTTTAGTGCGTATTTTTAACACGTCCATGAGAATAAGCAGAAGCTTCTGCTCTTGCTCTGAATTTCTCAGTGAGACTGAGACAAAAAAAAGACCCCCAAAACCTGGGCTATTGTTAGGAAGGCTACAGTCCCTGTTTGACACAGCTCAATTAAATGTGTAGTCATGGCCTTGAGTTAACTGCTTGTGTAGTAAGTAATAGGTGAGAGGATATAAAAAACACTTTCAGTCTTCGGTTTCTTTTGAAAAATTACATGTACTTGGTTTTTAGAGACCTCTAAATACAACAGCTGGCAGCAGATATTTTCCTTATTTCTATGAACATGGGAATTAAAAGGGGAAAAGCTAATGGGGCTCCTGAGGTGGCACAGTTCAGTGAAAGCAGAGGAGATGTGACATGTCTCTTTGGAGAGCCATGATAATTCATGGCACTCTGTAGAGCCACAGAGATCATTTCGGTTGCCACATGTGCTGGTGACCACCAAGGTCAACCAAGCAGCAACCAAACGATGGCTGTGCCCACACTGTGCCTGTTAAGTGTTTAACTTCATCTCATACTAGTGGATCATGGAAGATGTGTATTGTAGCACAAACACTGCTCTGGTGATGTGGAGATTTTCCTCTCTGTCCTGACTTGCAGTGACTTTGAGCCCCTTCAACAATGTGGTTGGGCTTCTCCTGGGGTACACTACGCAGAGGTTTGACCGTGCAGCCTTAAATTAGCAGCTTGACATTGAAATGGTGATTTACACCTGCAGCTGAACGTGTAACACATGTTAGAGGCTGATTGTCAGCACTTCCAGTCCGTTAGCGCCTCACTCCGAGGCGGTGTCGCTTGCTTTTATGGGATTTGAGGACACCATTGTGTGGCATTGTTGGGATGGCTGTGGACACAGCTGTGGGGGGCTGGCACTCTGTGTGGACTTTGTCATCTGTCTAAAAGCTGACATCACTTTCAAAAAATCACTGTGGAAGTTTGGATGTTTAAGTGTTGCTGTATATTTTAAGACAGCATTGGGGAGGAAAAAAAGCTTTTTTGCTGGTATAAAGAACACTTAATGTTGAATAGCTTACTCTTCTGACCTTTTCACCTTAAGGAAGATTAATGATCACTGAGAGCAGAAATTCCCACCTCCACCACTGTCAGGAGTCTGAATGCTTCAGGGATTCAGATGGACAAAGAAAGTCATTTCACCTCTAGGTCACCAGCACAGGCCTAAGGTGTCTCTCTAGTGGCTATTAGATGATTGCTCAGTAGTTTATGTGCAAGAGTCGGTAGCTGTAATCCATTTTCCAACAGACAGGTCCCTGCCTCATGAAATGTGTCACTGGGGGCTTATCTGAGCAGTGAGAAATTGGAATTAACATGAAGAGAGCTGGAATTGCATTTGTCTGGCACTACTAAAGCCTTGGAGCCTCTATGACACTTGTTTCCATGGATCAGTCCTTCTCCAGGGTCATCTTTTCAAGCCAGGAAGGGTGAAGCTGTGTTGGTGCTGTGCTGTGAGTGGTGGCACTTTGGTGTTCCCTCCCACAGGGCTGCAGCCTCTGCTCCTGCTTCTGGAGCACATAGGTCCTGCTCAGGCACACTTCACCATGGTGCCGCTGCCATCTCGGGCAGTTAGGACATCCTAAAGTCATACATCCCACAGCCATCTCCCAAGCTTAGCTCCTGGTGCAGTCAAGCTGAGAGACTTCATACCTATTGCATTTGTGTTTTAAATGGAAGTCCTGAAATTAGGGCTACTCGGTAAACCTGAGCACAGAGCCAGGGGGCAGATTTTGATAGTAAAGAACCATTAGTGACTCCTCATGTCAGAAGTGATGATGAAGTAAAGTGCAGTTCAGGGACCTGCCCAACAGAGCCAAGCTAATAACACCAGCCTGCCAAATAAAGGCAGCGCAGGGTCGGCTGATGGGCACCAAAGGTCTGACTGAGCATGTCCTTCTCTGGAGACATCTGCTTGTGCATAGCAAAAGAGGCTTTGGCAAAGAACCTGCTGTGTGTGCAGAGGCATGCGGCTGCTTACAGCTGAGACACTGAGCCTGAACATACAACACTGTTAAATGCTGAGGAGTAAAGTTGAAGAGCTAGGATCTAGAAGTCTACCTCTTTTTGACTGAGCAAGTTGAGAGGATGTAGACATGTCAGACTTCAAGTGAACATCTAAGATAACAATCATAGATTCATAGAATCATTCTGGTTGGAAGGGACCTTTAAGATCATCAGGTCCAACTGTTACCCCAGCACTGCCAGGTCACCACTAAATCATGTCCCTCAGCACCACATCTACACATCTGTGCAGCCCCTCCAGGGATGGAGACTCCACCACTGCCCTGGGCAGCGTGGACCTGGGCTTGAGGATCCTTTTGGGGAAGAAATGTTTCTTAATGTCCAATCTAAACCTCCCCTGGTGCAACTGGAGGCTGTTTCCTTGTGTCAGAGCCAGAAGGTCTCCCCTGAGCCTCCTTTGCTCCAGGCTCAACACCCCCAGGTCCCTCAGCTGTTCCTCAACAGACTTGTGCTCTAGATCCTCCCCAGCTTCGTTGCCCTTCTCTGGCCACGCTCCAGCCCCTCAGTGTCCTTCTTGGAGTGAGTGATCCAAAGTTGAACCCAGGATTTGAGGTGCAGCCTCAAATATGCATTTTATCAAACATGAAGGATGTAGAATCTCAAGCAGTGTAGTTATTAAGGAGAACGTGCCGTGTCTCTTTGCTGTTCCCTTTTGGTTTTCTCTCTCCCAGGCTTACCTCTGCACTGTACTTTCCTTGTAGTGGACAGAGCAACTAATGGGATTACAGCCACAACTGATTCAATAAAGGAAGGTGTCTCAGTGTGAAGGCAAACAGGACAGAGGAAAAGGACAAGTAAAGACCAACAGTTCCGCAAAATTCAAAGATCTCAGAGGCTGCATGGCTTGACAAGGACTGACCTCTATGTAGCTTATGAGCTTGAAAATCCTCTCCCATGTATTTGCAGCATTAATTCCTCTTGTCATCTGAGGTGATCTACTTTAATCAGATTCCTAGAAACAAGTCAGGTACTTAAAGCAGAAGATTGACACTCCTGCTTGCAGCGTCAGAGAGAGGCCAAAGACCAAACCAGAAGGAAGCCCAGATAACATGTTCCATCTCTCTGAAAACACTTCAAGGGTAATTGGCATGGGAGGGAGGCCCCTGCTTTCCCCCTGCAGACCGACAGCTCTGTGCTCTGTGGTCATTTAGCTTGTTGCACAAGAGCTACCTCAGAAGTCTCACACCTCAAAGACCCAGCAATTCCCTGCTGGTCCTCCTACTCTGTTCCAAAACCTCCTGTGGCAGCGTCTTCTGTGCTGCCTCGCTGATTCACACCAGCACCGTTCCTTCAGTCTGGAGAAAAGGGGGACTCATAAACCTGATCCTGCTTCCCTGCCTTTAGTGCAGCTTCTCCTACCTCCTCCTCTCTCAGTTTCTAGCACCAGGGGCTCTGAGTGCCCATAACGGTGCTCCTTGTTTTCAGTTTTATCTCATTTTCACAGAGAACTTAAGCCAGAGGAGGCACTGCCATCTGATAGCCTCCACAGACCTTCATCCCGCGGAGCACGTGTGTTCCACGCGGCAAAAGAAGCTTGATGGATGCATGAGGACACGCTAGAGACAAGTGAGGTGACAGTTCAGGTTGCCTCATTCTTTAGACTTATCCATGAGAGAAATCCTAAGTCGTTTGTGCCTGGTTACCCAAGCACTGGATTTTCCTCCGTATGGTGTGAGACAGAGTGTGCACCTGCAGCAAGAGGGCTACCCCTCTGCAAATCCAGGGACCGCAGGGCAAGGCTTAACTAAAGTGCTTGTTTGTCCAAAACCGGGTGTGTTCACATCAGGAGCCAATAGTCAAAGTAGTCTTAAAAAGTTTTAAAGGAAAAAAATTTGAATTGAAAAAGCCCCATCCAAAGGTTATTGTGCTTTATCAGGGGAATAAAGACCTCACTGATCAATCAGCTTGAAAAATACATAAATC